GGCTTGGAGCATTTAAATGAACACACGTGTATGCAGGTTTACATACAGAAACTTATTTCCTTTGTAAAGCATGAAAGGAGCATTTACGAGTTATTAATAAGAAATGAAACAGCAAAGACTTTTAACACGCAAATAAAACACTTCAATCCAGGCGCTTTAAGCAGCCTCTGAGGTTTTAATTCTTAAATGGAACGGTTGCTTTGACATTGATAGCGAACATTGACTTTCTAATCAATTTATTTACGAATATTTATATAAATATTAGAGAATACAGAGGAGGGAAAGAAATAAATTGATATGCAAAATAAAAAACAACTAAGTATTTTGCACTGAAACCTTACTAATTAGAGATATAAACTAAGTTAAAATTTTACAAAGGCGTTACTTTTAATTAAACCTTCAAAGCAGATTATACTTACCACTTAAGTGGAATTATAGAGGTGGAGTTGTTAAAAATGAATCAGAAATAAATTATATCTAAAGGAAACACAATATTTTGGAAGAAGAGAGAGGAGTTTAAACCTAAAACAATCTCAAGTCAAGAATCTCTAACAAGTTTTGATATGAATCGTTTAACAATCACTGAACGTATTAAGGCTTATTTTTCGTTTTCCATAGATATGTTAACAAACAAGATTATTGCACCTGGGACAATGAGAGTTCCTAGTTGATAAAATATTGCAACAATAAACAGTCACTGTGTGGTGTAGCATTTAATATGTAGATGTGATCCATACAAACTTTTCGGAAAATGATGAAGTGTGACATAATCCTTCAACTCTGCTGTGTACAATTACTAGTTATTTAAGGTATGACATTAAAGATATAGTTACGGTTTCAACAAGACAGAAATTTTTCGTTTTAATTAAATAAATTGACCACCAGATCATGTGATTTGTGACCACTGTACTTTTTTTGTGGGAACATGTCAAGCATCGTTAGAATAATTCTCAAGCGTTCAACACTTTGAAGACCAACATCCTTTACATTATGGCTGTACTACTGTCAGCTGAGTGCTGATAAGTTATCAAATATAACCTTTAAACAATCTAATATTGTAACATATCCAAGGGAAGATAATTGAATGATGCATTCATCACTTAAAGATAACGTTGCCAGATCTGCTTCGGCATATTTTGAAGGTACCAGGGCTAAACGACGAGAGATAGTGGTGGAGGATCCACTTATAGGAGACAACAACAGTGGATAATTTATGAGTTACCAACGGTAACATCCTTTCCCTAAGGAAAAAAAACTGGCTGGCCCTCCTAGTTAGGTGTTAAGCGCAGGGCTTACACCCAACTATTAATCGTTGCGCCCTTAATGATGATGATGGTATGGTTTATACAATAAACTGAAATAATTTGTATTATATTGGTATATGGTATATTCGTTTACTTTTGATACCATAAAATGGATAACTTTGGGCATTATAGTAGAATCACAAAATGAAAATATTAATAAAGTGATATTATAATAATGCATTCACTAATTAATATTTTTATTTAACGAAATGGTTATATAAAGATTTGTTATATAAATTCAAACATTTAAAGTAAGCAAAGTAAAATTTGTGTATTAAATCTTTAATATTGCAAAATCTATCAATATTGCAATAAAAACAATTTATCAAAATATTTAAATTTTACTTTTTAAAGAAGAAAGTCTTTAAAACTATTTGCTTAAAATTTTGAACTATATTATATATGTACACATTTTATCCTGTTATCCAATATTTAGATATAAAATATATAGGTTAACACAAAATCACGTTAATCCTTGACATATGTCAGAGAGCTCAACTGAACGGATGTATTAAAAATGTTGAAAAAGAATACAGAAAGAATATGTTTATTGGTTTTGCAACGTTTCCTAACACAAAATGACATTTTCATTAAGTTGAGATTTAGATTAAGCATATAAGACATATTGACAAAACGAAAAAAAAAAAATTAAATAAAATAAAAGGATTTTCACGAAGCAGACATAAAAGAATTACAGGCAAATCCAGGCACGACAGAAACTAATTTGTAAGGAAAATAGGAGTGTGTTTTTTATACAAAGCGGAAAAAAAGAAAACAAGACAGGAAATGACAAATCCTTCCTTTGAACAAAAAAAAAAAAAAAAAACTAATAAATAATAAGATATAGAAATTTATATATCTACTTGTTGTATAAATACAAAAAATATAAAACAAAAAAGGATTTAATGTGTATCGAAATGAAGGTAAATGAACGCTTTTTGCAAATATTTTAGTAGAAGCGGAAATCGCGTGCTCTGATTTAATTAGACACGCTGAAAGCACTTCTATGGCTACACAAATTCATTTGTATTGTACAATATTTAGATAAAAATCAAGCAACAAGAACATAAATATACATAAATAATACATTAAAATGCGACTACAGCTGTTTTGTGTGCAAAAGGCAAAGCTGATGAGCCCGATAGGCTGCTGATAGGCTGGGAGATAATGCAAGGTAATTCTAATTAAAGTGAAGAGCTTGTATCCCGTAAACAAAAATAATGCTACAAAAGTGTTAAGGAGGCTGTGTAGAAGCAGAGACATCCCTAATACCTCGGATTAGCAATAGAAATGCTTGATTCTAAGGGTAAAATTTAAAGTTTTTTGCTCAAATGCTTTAAGTAAATCTGTAGAGCAGAACTTAGAAGTGCTACTTTTTGAGGTAAGCACTTTTAGAAGTTGAAAGCAATTTTATGTTGCCTAAGGAACTTTGACGTACAGCAAATTGCTTAACTTGCACATGTAATTCAACAGAACAGTAAGAACAGTAACAGCAACTAGAAAATGTCAACACAGGATGTGATGAATTTAATTATGCGTTCAGGCATTTTGTCATTTTGTAGTACGTGATATGGCATACCAAAAAGTGAAGTGGCCGTCTTTTTTGTTTAGAATATTATACTCAATTTGTGCATTTCAAGTTTAAGAACAGCGACAGATTTCATAAATTATACGTAATAGTAAATAAATATGAATGTATTGACAAGGATATGAATAAAGATATATTAGATTACTAATTGTTATTTACTTGAAAATAAACCAAAGTTGGTAATTGAAATTAAAATCCTTAACAAAGTAAATAAAAATTAATGATAGATGTTAAGTCGTGAATTATACGATTAAAGTAATGAAACTTAAATATTTGCAAACATTCCTTATTAACAAGCATCAACTTGTTAATAAGAATGTTCGATAAATCGTACATAGCAGTCAACTGCATTGTAGACTTTACAACCCGAATAAACGGCGTACTGTCGTTCCTCAATAATTTGAGCAGCAATTATTTTTAATATATTTTTTACTTCCGATTCTTATTATTAACATTTGTAATTTACCATATAATTTAATAAGCAAAGCATTCAAGACGTTAGGAGCATGTGCAAAAACAGAAACTAAGCGATAAAAATTCGATATTTTCTTAACCAGTTGAGATATTGAAACAAAATTTTCAAAACTCCAGAAAAATGTGCGAACATAAAAAATCAAGTACGGGTTTGAGTCAGTAGGTTAAGGAGCGCTACCTCTGAGTTTCAAATTTAGCAGGGCATGAGTTCGATTCCTGCTACTTGTAATCTCAAAAAGTTATTTACGCATAATTAAATACAAGAATAATTTCTAGGACCACTGATAATGGGTATTTGGCAATACTTGAAACCGCTGTATGGTCAGCAAAAAATTCAATTAATTAAAATAATATAAAAAAGAATTTTTGTTATAGTAGTTCAATACTTTTCGAAAACCTCTTTAATAAAATTTTCCTTAAATATAGTTTTTGAGATGATATTCCGCTTAATTGTTTATTATTGTTAAATTGTTTATTATTGTTAATAAAGCTTTTACTTTCATTAGACTATGTACATTTATTACGTATGTAATAATACAACTTTAATTTTTGATTTCAGTTCTTGATTTTATCAGTTATCTAAAAAAACGATTATTATTATGTTGAGGTAATATTGCACTGCGACCTAGAGATCTATTATACCTAAAAAATAATATACCGAATATATACTTTTTAATATTATTAATACATGTCATTCTCCTTAATTGAGATATATTTTTTTATAACATATGTTTGGCCTCCAAAAAGGTTAATCCTAAAGAATTTTACACTCATTACTGTTCTTTCTTGGAACTCAATAACATGAAATTTCAAAAAAAAAAATTGTTGTGATGTACTCTTGAACAATAAATTGTAAAGTTCTGAAAACGATTTAGCTTTTTAATGTTTTAATTACTTTCTTAGTAAATATAATTCCAATGTCTGCTTCGAACTTCTTCATAAGGCTAAGGAGAAAAACTACCAGAGACCTTCTTGAAATAAGTGATTAGTTAATACCATTTCATGTTAGTACAACATATAAAGAAATGGCACAGAAATATCAAATTAAATTAGACAGATTCTTATAGTGTCTTAAAAAAATATATTTATAGCTCCAGATATATATTCTTAGAGCGACGTTTACAAATGATTTAAAGACCGTGTTTGCTGCTTTAAACTGTGATAGCATAGTAGAAAAGAAGAATAATTTATTAAAGATGAAAGAAAAATGTTACATAAGAAGAAAAGATAACATATTCTAATTCACTCAGAGTATTAGCAAGTATATTAAATTCGTTATAGATAATAAAAACAATACTATTACATAGACTTTACTGATATTTTAAAATAGATTGTCTTTAATTTATACATTTTTATTTTAAATATATATAACGCACTTCATATATTAAAATAAAATTGGGATTATTTAAAAAACGTTATTTCTATTAATTTTGCACTATTAAGATTAGTCTTGGTAAATATAATGTTAAATACAACTGATTTATGAGATTGAAATTACAAAAAAAAAAGATAAAATTGAAGATAAACATATTAAAACCAAACATTATAACAACGATAGGTAATTATTACTACAAATTAATAATATTTAAAATGTCTTAATATAAAAAAAGAAATGAAAAATAAAATTAACTTACGTTGCTTCTGTCAAAATTGAATTTACCAAGGATGGCTCACTAAATAAATGAAAATTAAAAAAAAAAATAAAAAATAAATTGTACTGAAATTAAGAAATAAAAAATTAATAAATAAACTAACTTTATATACACTTGGTACTTGTGAAATTTTACAAAAATATTTAATAAATTATATTACACATAATTCATAGATCAATTTTGATTTATTACGAATACCATTGGTCTCTCATCATACTGATTCTAAATCCGTGACATATTTTTTATTATTGAGCACTGATTGATTAAAAATCAAGGTTTATAATACTTCAATTATTATTTAAATAAACCAGAGGAGAAACGTTTTTTTATATAAAATATGTTTTTATATTTTACTCTTATTATAATTGACAATTGAGCTAAATTTCTAACAGTTAATGTTCGACCTCTGTTAAACCATTTTTCCATCTTATATTTAAATAGAATCTAGGAGCACGGACGTTATCACAAAATGATGAAACAGCACTGGGAGTGTTTGAGAGTTCTTCGATAGTTCTTCGAAAGATCTTAGGTTCTTTACGACGATTACCGCATCCGAATAAACCACGAGCTTCACGGCCTCGCTGAGTTATCGTAAGAATTGATCATGATGTTCCAATGAAAAAAATGTTTGAAGCAGCAAATGGCAGAAGAATGCGTAGAGTTACATCGCGTTCCCAATTTAGTGATCAAGTTGATGACCACTTTCTGCACTTAATGTGCGAGACTGGCGAAGACGTGCACACAACACAGGCGCCTAGAGATACATGCTGCGTCAGGCCAAAGCCCGATAACAGGTTGTTATGTCCAAATAAGTAAGTAAATACAACAACAAATTAATTCTCAATAATTTAATATTTTTTTTGATTTTTTAAGAAAACCAGGGAATAAATTGGCTTTAAATTAGCTAAAACTTCTATGTGCTTTACATTTAGATAATACAATATAAATCAATTATTCACAAAACACAAGCGGAATATTTTTTAAGTAAATACTATATATATTTTTTTAATGTAAAATTCAAACACATATTTTGGGTGCTATAAAATGTAGTCAACTAATTCCATTGATTTGTTGGCATGAGTTGGTTGGACTTCCAAAAGAATATCTGTGTGAAGTCGCATTTAAATAATTTAATAACTTAGAGACAAGTTTACATTTGAAAAGATAAATATCATCTTGTGATGTAAAAATTTTAAATTGTTTAAAATTGTTAAAAAAGTTTAATTAAAATATTTTCCTGAATATATATTTTTATTTTTTTTTTTACAAGTTATACAAATCACAAGTGTATCAACTTTTAGTATAATGTCTTCAAAAGACTTTAGCTTTTTGCAATCATAAGTAAGATATATTGTGAATTGAAGCAAATAATACCAGACTGATGAAAGAAAAAAAAAAGATTTTAACGGACGGCAAGTGGGACGTTTCATGCATTCCTTTTTGTATATTTAATTGGTCTAACTATAGAACTAAATCAATAACCTTCAAATCCACGCTTGCATTGTCACCAAGTAAACAAAAACATTAATGTACCATGTGTATATAAATTATATGTAATAATATAACAAATGTAATATTAAAATATACATATAATTAAAAAATATTGAAAATAAATTATAAAAATATAATTTATTGTATAATATAAAAAAAAAGTTTATTTCAACAAAAAATAAATATTAAACGAAAAACCAAAAATATAAGTGAAAAATTTTTATTATTTTAAAAATGAAATACAAATAATTCAATTAATTATTTAATTAAAAACTTTTTATATATACAATAATATCTACAAATAATTTATTAACTGGTTTTGTTACAATCATACGAAAAAAATTAAATTTATGTATATTAAAACAAAATGTAAAAAATATCAAATATAAAAAAGAAATTCAGAAAAATGTATTCAAATTTATTGCAAATATAAAATTAATAATGGGTAATAAATCACTATCACTTATTTATTTTTAATTATTCTTTTAATACATTATAAATTAAAATAAAATTATTTTATTGATATTTCTCAACATATATTAGTTAAAACAATCTTATTAGGGGTAAATGTTATTGTATGGAATTGCATGTATTTTAAAACAAGTATAATAATATGTATATGTATTAATTATTTCTGTTCATAAAAATCTCTACAGTTAAGAGAATAAAGTGTGATTAAGAATATTAATTTTAAAAATGTTTATGTGTAACAAAATAAATTAATTAATTAAAAAAATTTTAAATTCACACTTAAATTTCTGTTTTAACAATTAATTTATTAATATATTTATTTTTAAGATTTAAAGTATTGAAAAGTATTTACCTTAATTTTATATAATTTTTGATTTTAACTATAATATATTAATAATTTAACGATAAAGTAGGTTAAAATCTTGAAATATACCTGAAAAGAAAAGAAAAATTTATTAATATTAGCATATATACTATATATATATTGTGTACAGTAAATATTATTTATAATAATAAACTTGTAAAATTGCGAAAATATGAAAAAAATTTTTTTTTTAATTTTACTACTGATTTCTGTAAATCTATGTATTTTCAAGTTAAAAATAATTCAAGAAAATTTAACTAATTATTTTTGTATAATTTAAAGAATAAAAAGTTGGAACCGTGTCTTACAGTAATATAGAAAACAACATTTTTTAGAAGGGTTCGAATAGAAATTAAAAGACAACAACAAAAGTTTAATTAATTTATTGAAATTTGGTTGACCATATTCAATAGTTACTTTTAACAAATCAACTAAATTTTTATTGTCTTTCCATTTCTATTCGAACCCATCTAAATTTTAGAATAGTTACTTTTCGTTATAAGACGCGTCACTCTCGGAAGAAAAAATTAACATTAAGAAAAAAAATTGTTTTGTGTAGAATAACAAAAAGGGAAATTATTAAATAATTAGTTTTTCTTACATATATTTTCGAAAAAATTAGTGACGAAAAAATTTTGCGAAGGAATGAATCTTTATTTCGAAGTTAAATTATGAAGTGAATCACGGAATTTTTTCTGAAGAGTTGACTTTGAGTATGGATGCAGCAATATTAGAAACATTTAAATGCATATAAAAAAAAAGAAGTATATTCATAAATAGTCACGCTGCAAAAAATTACATTTATGAATTAGCCAAACTAGATGCAAGCCAAACAATCTTTAGGAGAAGTTATAAGATAGTAAATAAGCGAGTGAATCGCTAGAGAAAAAAATACGCGAAGGGAAGGAGGAGTACGTATTTAAAGTGGATTATTTTGAGACAAGTTTATATTGTCTATTGACAATAGTAATTCGGAACTTCTAGAGTTAAACTAGTCAATGTTTCATTTTTCGTTAATTTGGAATTCGATTTCATAAAGATATTTTTACATTTCAAACTATAATATTGAAAATTTGTGCAATCAATATAAGTGCATATAATAGTTGGCGCTAGATGGTGCTTATAGTTTTTGTTTGTTTGTCATATTTTAAAAAGTAAGGTATATTGGCATTAATTGTAAAAGTTGCTCAAAATAACTGACGCTGATCTGTAGAACTATCAATTCTGAATCGCGTCAAAAATTATATTAAAAATGTAGTTTTAACAGTATATTATAAAATATACATATTTTAAAATTATAGGTATATATTTAAGCTCTTGGCACTCATTTAAGTTTATTAAAAAGTATGAGATATCAGAAATGCTATTATAGTTAACACAAGCATTAATTTATGACAAATAATGTTATTATAAAACTATACTAGGTATAGTATACAGTGTTAACATTTAACACGAGGTAAACAGTGTTAATTGATTACATTTAGACCAGTATAGGCTAGCAACTTGCTGGTTTTTGCCATACTTGCGAGCCACCTAAAAGGCCTACTTTAGATGTATGTATAAATCAATATAAAAAACTATCTCAAATATTTGTAACAGGTTATAAGAGTCACTGGGTATATGTTCCGAAGACACTCGTCTATGACAAACATAAGATGCTTCTTATTGTAACACAGTTTGCGAAAACGGTTGCGCGACCTGGACTAGATTTGTGTATTAAATATGGACTACAGCAATATGTCTGTAACATGATTTCACACATTTTAAACATTTTGTTTTTTTTTTATCAATGATTGTTGTTTTACTGTTTTGATTTTATAAAAGAATATCATTTCCGTCAATTCCGAGATATATATACACTACATGATTATTTACATTCATTGCTAAGTATTAGCGATTTCAATTCTACTGTGATTTCATTTTATTTCAAGTGCTATAAGAAGCCTTTAATATTTTTTCCAATATTGTTTTTTATTCTTATTTAAGTGTTTAAATGTAATATGACTCTATTACAGTTTAACGATTTATTGACATCAACACAATATACCAAATAAATAAATCAATTTAATTGAAATCTTATTAGAAACACAATAGAATAGCTGCTATTCAATACCATGTACATATATATCTAAACTTATAGAGAGATATGTGAAAAGTAAAGCAAATATAATTAATCTTCTTTCTTTCATAGAAATTCAATGCGTTTAATGAAAATAAAAATAAAAATAAAAATACTCGCACGTCAAATTGCTCCATATGGGATGAAGTATCAATTTTCCAGCTTAATAAATTTAATAGTCTGGGTAATGTTGAATGTATACATCCAACAATAAACATAAATAACAATAATAAACGAATAAAAATAGGAAGATGGTTAAATGGTGAAAACAGATAAAACTAAAATGAACAAGTGAAAAAAAGTAGTTATTGTTTCATATAAAATTAAAGTAGAGACATCGAAAATGTTAGCACAAATCGCACTAAATAACCTAGGAGATAGAGTAGAAAATCGAAGAACCTTGACCCAAAGTATAAGGAAATATGGAAATAACAAAGTTGTAAGGATAAGAAAAAAAATAAATAAATAGCAAGAAAATGGCAACAAAGAAATGCTCGAACATTCAGAGTGTAGGAGTTACAGTTAAGACAATATTTTTTTCAGCGCCTAATAGGATATCGTGAAACAAACACTTCC